TGGACTGCGTCAACATGAATATCCTATACAATCCAACCGGCTACAGTACGAGTTTCATCCGTCCTCATCTAGTGAGATCGACCGACGAATCTCTTCTTTATGAACTTTCATAGGAAATAAAGATCCCTCTAACATTGTCTATTGCAATTAAAGGGATCCTGTTCTTTCTCACTTAAATTACACTCTAGCTTCAGGATGTACCAGATAATTGACGCCAAAATGAATCAGCTTAATTAAGTCATTTATAATCCTTAAGTATTTACAACTCGCACTAAAGTTCTGTTTGTGATATTCTTTGATACATTAATAGGTTATAAAATTAAACCGATACAATGGCTCTCGCTTATATTGTCTCCATTATTAGCTCGGATTTTGTTTTCAGAGTCATTCAAAGTTCAGCAGAATAACATAGTGTAATATCAAAAGTTGGAAATTACTTACCAGCTTACTTACTTGCTATTTTGCTTTCCTTAAGAAATCATCAAGTCTGGATACACCCTTCATTACCAAGCCTCTTCATTATGCTGGAAACGAATTTCCCACAATTATCGATTATGTCTGAAGGATTAAGGCTTGAATATTATTTCTAGTATCCCCATTTCCGATTTCGGTTTATAATCAATTCGACAGCATGAATGCGTTGGAATCGCTAGGACCCTAAGTCGGATCAGATGACTTCGACCTGAAGCTTTTGGCTCATGTGAGACTACTGCTGTTAATCGCAATAGACTATTTTTAGAATGAGGACTTGCACTGATTAATTAATTCAACCACACCAAGCAACCTTTAATCTGGATGTATGAGTGAACCTACACTTTGGTAGTGGAACTACGACACAATTCAAACTCATGAACGCAAATCTAGCCTAAATACATCAAGGACACGACTAAACCCAAGATTTATTTTCCAACTAGCCAAGGTATTCCAGTCACGCTTGATAAATCCATGAAACCAAAATTATCCCAATGGATAGCCTTTAGGCACCTATGTTTACTCTTGAAAGCAAATATTTTACTCACAAAAAGGCGTCTATTATAAGCTACGCTCTGTAAAATAGCTAGCGTTAATTAAGAATATCGAAAAATGAAATGAGCGTTAGAAGATAGTAATGAAATCTCAACATATATACAAATAGGATTTAAAGATAATGCAAAATATGAAGAAATTCGCTTAGTCACTTAAGTCACTAAGCTCTGTGTCCACATCCGATAAGGGTCTTTTTGAGACGGCAGTAACAGGAGCCTGTGCTGTTTTGAGTGGTACTGGCTTGGGGGACTCAGAACTTGCCTCACTGTCATCGCTACTGCTGCTACCACTGCTAATACTTCTAGCTTTAAAGGTATGAGTGTTCAAAGAGGATGAAGAGGTTGCTCTCAGTCTTTTGCCTATAAGGCGAGGTTGAATAAGGGGAAGGGGCATAATGAAAATAAAAAATAAGTTAGAAACTCATCTAAAAATATTAAGATTGTTGGCGATTGAGAGATATAAAGATGGATAGATGTGGTATAGAATAAAGGCTGATAAAGTAGAACAAATTCTAATAATATGATATGTATAGCAATGTAATGTATAATAGAAGTAAGGAGAATCCTTTACGTGTTTCATGTGTTTCTTCATTTGATGATCTCTTATGATCGTTGTCGTAAGTAGAATTTTTTTCATGTTCACTTTCATCTTCTGTCTTATCATCTGACTTTTCAGCCAAGTCTTCCTCCAGCACATCCGTATTCTTTTCAACAGCTTCTACAGGACCTTCACCTTCATCTTCGACCTCGTCTTCACCCTCATCATCAGCCTCGCCGTCATCTTCTTCCTCTATATCATGCTCTAGCATGTAAAGCCGAGCAGTTTGCGCTTTTAGCTCTTCATCTTTAAAATCCCGATGCCTAACAATCAGACGAGTTTTAGCAGCAGCAGATGCAACAGCAGGACCTCCTAATTTTCTTCGTTTACTCAGCCTAACACGTGTTTCCAACTCGTTGTAGTAGACACCTGAGAAAGGACATTAATTAGTACAGATAAGTAGTATTATAAATTTGGCTCTGTATATAAGAATAAAACAAATAACAAATCCAAACAATAATGACAATTCTTTAAAAATATTCCTCATCAGTGAAGCAAGTCTCACTGTAAACCAATATTAGCAAATCAAAACAACGGCACTAACAAGTTGGTGAAGCTTAGCACCACAGACTACAATCTATTGTAGGAATAGGAGACATACCAACAAGTAAGAGTAGCACAAGACAGATTTTTCAAGGCTAGCAAGACATTTATTCAAAAAGAGCAATAATGTAATGATCTAAAATGATTAAGTTGGTAGTTGATTGAAATACTGAGGAATGATATACTAAGAGTTATTCTAGTAATCAAATCGATGGTATGAAAACAAGGGCGAATTAAATGAAGATAACAAAATGCGCTAGATTCTATTTGGTATGCAGAAAAACAGCTACTTTCCAAAACAGAACAAAACCGATAGAACCACCTCGCGAATTAAGCGATATAGCATTAGCATTCTAACAACACTGGTATTACGTTCGACTGCATAAATATTCAAAAGTAAATAAAAAGCAGCACTCGCATATGAACTGTATTCCATAATCTTTAATGAGCTAAGCATCCGAAATAAAAGTAAACGAGT